CCGCCCCGGCCCCGCCCCATCCGGCCCTGGCCCCGCCTCTCCGGGCCCGCGGTCTATTAGAGACCTCTTACTCCTTGCACTTGCGCTGTCACTCATTCAGGCCCCGCCCCTCTCCCCGCCCCTCCTCCCCACGTGCTTTCAGCGGGGGCCCCCTGCCCAGCGTGCACTTGCGCTGTCACTCAGCCTGGACACCGCTCTTTTTGGATCTGGAGCAGGAGGCGCCTGGACACTAGCCTCATGGACGCTGCGCTGCTCCTCGCCTTCGGGCTGCTGGCCCAGGTAAGGTCTCGACGTCCCTAGGGAGAACTTGCCTCTCCCGGCGCCCACCGACAGTTGTACCCTAAGGGGGGACCCCAGCTCTGGAGGCTGCTGGGGTGGGGCAGCGTGCAGGGGGTCTGCAGGTCAGTCAGGTAGGCCCCACAGGGAAGAAGGGTCAGAGGGCAGTCGAGTTTCATGGAATCCCTCGGAACTGGACAGCCATGCCGAAGCCTGGGGGCGCCACACACAGATAGACCGGGGAGCAGACTTCCTCAAACCCTGTCAGAATGGGGGAGAAGTCCACATGCCCCCAACATCTCCCTTCGGAATTCTCTCCTGTGGTCGTGGGTCAGGTTGGCACATGACTATCCTTGGCCTTGGATGGTATCCAAGAGAACACCCCCATGTGCTAAGGAGGGGGGACACTCAGGCAGCTGCAGGCTGAGTCCTTCAGACGCTCCAGTTTTGGAGGTTCCAGGGAACCCGGGTCCCCGCCCACTCAACCCCGGAGACCTGCCTCCAGCCTTTGTGGCACGTGGACCCCCACCCCCCAGTACTGTTGGGACTCTGCAGATAACTTTCCTCTCCACCCCCAGATCTCTGTCAGCTCAGAGAAATTCAAGTGTGGTGAGAGGGGGTCCAGGACTCAGGACCCCCGGCCCCCCACCCCTTCTCCACCAAGCCCATGCCCTGGACAGAGCCCTGGCTCCTCCTCATGCCCAGGGCACTGGGCAGACACTGGTGGGGGTGGAGCTTGGGGCCTCAGGGAACAAGCTGGGGCTTCCCAGCTCCTGTTTGACTCCCTTCCAGCTCAAGGGCTTTGGGCTCCTTCTCTGACCCTCACTAGTCTGCTGGCCCTAGGATGGTGGCAAGACTGCTCTTCAACCTCACAAATTCCAGCCCCAGAAAACCACTGCAGTGTTGCAGCCCCTTCCTTGCCCAGCGTCCACACATGGGGGCTTCCTCCACCCCCTCCAGTTCTGAAGATGACCCGGCTCCATGGCCATGCTCAGATTTCAGTCCTGCCCCACCACAGCCAGCCTTCTGCACACAGACCTGTGGCTTCCACACTGGGATTCACTTCAGGAAGGTTCCAGTCTCCTGCATCAGCCTCACCTCAGCTCAGGGCAGTACTGCCCCGTGGCCTGGACTCCACCCAACCAGCACATGCATTCTTCTCCCCTCACAGGGATGTTGGCATTTCAGCAGACCCGGGGACATTCTGCTAAGAGCTGGAGTCTATCCACTTAGCTTTCTCTCACCCCTCCTAGACAGCTGGAGTGGTGGGGGTGGGGACCAGAATGGGGGCCTAGCTCCTGAGTTCCCTTCTATCCAGCATGACTCAAATTAGCTCCGGTGTGAGAAGCATTTTCCTGTCTTTCTGAAATATGTCCGCCAGGACCCTGGCCCCCTCCCCCACTCAGCTCAACTTTCAGAATTCTGTCTGCCTTCTCCAGCCACACAGCCACCCCTGGCTACCTCCTGGAGCCTCCATCCTCCACCTCTGTGGGCTCCAAACGCAGGTAGTGCAGGCCACTGGGACACGGGGCTGCTGGCAGCGCCCCTTACCTGCCCTGAGACCTCAGACAAGGCACTGACCTTCCCCAGCCTCTCAGCCCATGAGCTCAGGGGACCTCAGGGACGCTGTCTACTCCCTTCTCCAACCCACACCTGGGACCTCACCCAGGAGATGGGGATGCGACGGAGGGAGGGCGTGGGTGATGCCAGTGAGCCCTTTGCCTCAGTGTGGATGAAGAGACCTGGCCTTGGGTAGTTCTGGGACTCCCTAGCACGTGTGCCTGGCCCCAGTGAACACCCAGTACCAGGTGGGAGGTCAGCAGGTAGAAGACTCCTAGCCTCGTACTCCCTCCAGGGGACAGGACAGCCCCAGGACTGTTATGGGGGCTACAGTTTCTCCCTGGAGCTGGGAGGTGGTCTGCTGCCATCTGAGTGGGAGGAGACAGCTGCTCCCTCCACCCCCTTTCAACTGAAGCTATGGCAGCTGGAGGGGGTGGTCCACAAGGGGCATGTGAAGGTCTGTGCAGGGCCAGTCTGACAGCTGGCCCATTCCTGGCATGCCTGCTTCGACCCGGGCGTCCAGGAGCTGGGGGCCCAGATTCCAGCAGTAGGGGGAGAGACTGGGCCTCTCCCAGATCCTGGGGGCAGGCCAAACCCCATCATGGCCCAACACCTGTTCCTAGAATCTGAGAAATCCAGGGTTGAGAACAGCTTTCCTTAGGGCGGGCCTTCTTTCAAAGTCCACAACCCACTCCTGTGGGGTGCTACAATTGGCCCTCCCCAACTGTCCACATGTGATTGGCCCCAGTGCCCTCAGGGGCCAGGACCTGCTGCCTTAGGGTGTCTTTCCCTTCCCATTCCTCAGCCTGGAGCCCCACTAAAGAGCAGCCTTAGGGGTCCTCCAGGACCTGCTGACCGGAAGGGCAGGGCCGGTTGAGGCTGTGTGTTGGGGGCAGGGTTGGAGTTTGCCCTGAAGTGGGTCTGGGTCAGACAAGGAGCGGGCTCTGCTGCCTCCAGCGCCTTGGATCCAGGGGCAGCCTGATAATTCCTTGTTCTGAATTCAGGACCGGCATGGAGCTGGGCCTGTTGGGTGGGCATTTCGGGACCCTGGGTGTGGATGAGGCAGCCTGAGGACCTGCCTTTCTCCCCAGTGATCAGAAATGGTGCCAGCTGTGTGCTATGGCCCGCCCAGTGCCCTCACACACTGGGTACCATCCTTTGACCCTGGCCCGGCATCTGTGGGCAAAGATTCCGATGTCCCTGTAGGCAGGACTCAGAGCTGGTGGTCTCCAAAGCCTCCAGGGACTCATGTGGGGTGGTCAGAACTCAGGCTAATCCAGTGGGTCTGCAGTGAATGTGGGGGTCTTCGTGAATAGCCCCTTGGGGTGATCCATGATCCCAGAGATTAGGAACTGGGCTTCATTATTCAGGAACTGAAAGGAGTGTATCCCAGGGCTCAACTCCAGAGCAGAACTCTTGAGGCTTCTAAACTTCCACAAGGTTCTTTGCCTCTGTTGGTTAAGGGCAGGGTCAGGATGGGTTTGAGGATGTCATTTAGAGTCAGGAAGTGGCTTGGCAGGGACATGTTACTGTATCCGCTTGGATCTGTTTCAAGGACACTTTTGTCCCTGTGTCCAGGGGGCTGGGGGTCTGGGAGCTGGCAGTGCTGATATGATTTTGGCCAGGATACTGGCTGTCTCCTGCTCTCTACTGTGCCCACCCCCCTCCACCAGCCTGCCCCACAAGGTGAGTGGGTGGGGATGGGGAAAAGATCAAGTACCACAAAGACCCCTGAGAATTGGAAGTTGCCAAGGTCCACTGGCCTACCTCCGCTGACCACAGACTTCAATCTGGGTACTGCCCACTCAAGGAACTGTGGCTTCTGCTGACCTCTTGAACTTAATGCCAACAGCCCAGGAACCCCCAAGTTCCCAGACTCTGCACCGGCTGCACTGGCCCTGTGCCAGGCTGGGGGCACGTCCAAAGCAGTAGCCAAGCAGCTGGTAGGAGGAGGGTGGTGCCCCGAGGTCTTGGCAGCCACATTGGGAGTCCCAGGAGGCTTGGAGCACGGTGCTCTGTGGGCTGGGACCTGGCCCCTGGAGTGTGATTTAGCCATCTCTGCCACTTCTTGTGTGTGGCCTAGGTTCCCTGAACCTCATTTTCCAGAGCTCTGAGGTGAGGGTGCTGCCCCTTCCCCATTCCTAGTGGGGCTATGAAAACTGAGAAGGAGGGAGAGTTAGAGATGGGAAGGGGGAGGTAAGGACAGAGAGACAGAACAAGGGATACACAGACGGGCAGACAGATGGGGAGAATAGGACACACAGATGCTCAGCACAGGGCCTACCCATGAAGTGCTCCTAGCCCCCCCTCCTGCCCCCCACAACCTGGTAAGTAGGTCTTTCCCTGGCAGAAGTACCATCCAACCTGGCAGGAACCCGGTTCTTGCCAGAAGCCCCCACTAGGCCATCTGCTGACCTCAGAGCCCTGGTGGAAGGCCTGGGCTCCCGCTGCTGGTGGTCTGAGAGCCCACTGGAGGCAGCCGATGTAGTTGGAAGATGCTGTTTCTGCTGCTTATTCCCCGAGCTGTGCCAGAGGTCCTACTGTGCACCACTACAGGCTGCCTCCGGCCGAGGGCATATGCCTGGCCAGTCCCTCAGCCAGCCCACGGTAAGAGCCTAGGGTGGGAGTGTCTTCCCCTGGGAGTGAGGTGTGGGGGGCACATAGCTGCCTTGCCCCTTCCTTCCCAGGCCTGTCTGGGCTGTGAGGGACCATGAAGACAGGACACCCAGGCTCAGGCCGTAGGGAGCGGGAGGAGATGTCGCAGCCGTAGCTGGGTTCCAGGAAGGGGTGTACTGGGAAGAATTGTACCCAGATTCTACAGCAGGGCCCCAGGCTGTCCCTTCATCCTTTCCCCCACAGCCCACACGGTAAAACAGCCATCCGCTCCCGGAGGCAGCTCACTTAGGCTCTGCCATGGTCCTGGCCTCTCCCACCATTGCTCCCCCGGACTGGACAGCATCCTGTCTTAGCCCCTCATAGGACCCCTCGCAGCTGTGTTAACCATCGTTCTGATCCCTCTGTGCCTTGGAGCCTTTTCCACCCACTTCTGTGCATGACTAGCCGGGCAGGCCAGGGCCTTCAGTTAGCCACTTGGCAACTGAGCTTTCTCAGGACCTAGGACTTGGTCAGCGGCAACCTGGCACCTTGGGTCTGCTGAGAGGGGGTGTAGAAACAGGCATCTCCCTCCCTCATTCAGCTACCCAATGGTGCATCCTGGGCTCCTGTTGAGGGGAGGAGACAGTTGCCAGGCAGCCCTGGAGGCATTGCGGCCTGTTGGCTAGTTAGTGGGCCAGCCTGCAGCCAGCTGTACCACCCCTAGGAGCCCTCAGGAAGCCTAACCTGGAGGTGCTATGTGACTGTTTGTTCCTGCTATAGGGTCTCAACCTGTCTACAGGGGTTCCTGGGCCCCGGAAGCCCAACACCCTGTTCCCCTGGCGCCGGACGCCCGGTTCAGGCCGTGTGCGGAGAGCCTGGGTCATCCCTCCCATCAGCGTGTCTGAGAACCACAAACGTATTCCCTTCCCGCTGGTGCAGGTGAGGCGGGCTGTCCCTGAGGCCCCCTACACCCACGTGCTAGTCTGGGTCCCTCTGTCTTCAGCTGGAGCCGGGACACAGGGCTGCCCACAGGATTTGATAATCCACCCAAATTATCCGCAGGGCCCCCACCCTAGGGCTGTGTGCCTGGGCAAATGCTCCCCAGGTGGCACCCCCAGTGGGCAAGCCCTTCCCCATCCCCCACCCTCAGTAGGCCAGGAGCTGTCTGTGGATGGGACTTTTGTCTGTTTGTGGGAGACAAAAATACAAACTGCTTTCCGGGACCTGTAATGTATATGCACACCCCAAAATCTATCTCGAGAGACCAGGGTCCAGGTACCCTAGTCTGGTGCCCTGGGAGAAGGGCTTTAGGATGGAAATCCCTTAGGGTAGAGCTCCCACGGCATTGTAGGGTTGCTGTCCCCAGCCCTGCTTTTTGCTGGGAAAGGGGACCTAGGGGCTGTGTGTGTTCCCCTCATGTCTGGGCCCACTCCCACCCCCCTGCCCTAGATCAAATCGGACAAGCAGCCGTTGGGTGGCGTCATCTACAGCATCCAGGGCCCAGGCGTGGACAAGGAACCTCAGGGCATCTTCTCCATCGACAAGTTTACTGGGAAGGTGTTCCTCAATGCCATGCTGGACCGTGAGAAGACTGACCATTTCAGGGTAGGCTACTGCCACCTTCCAGGGCCCAAACTGCTTAATGGGGGTGGGGGTGGGGACCTAGGACCCAAGGAAGCCAGCATTCCAGATTATCTCTACTCAACAGAGGAGTAAATGGAGGCCCCAGTGAGGATTAGCTCTGGGCAGAAGGCTTTCTTGATGTCAAGGTGTGCTCCCAACAGCCCAAACCATCAGACCCCTAAGTTACAGTGACTCCCTGTTAATCCTGGTTGTGTTTGACACGAATGTGCTGGGTTGTCATGAAGAATCCCAACAGCAGGGCCGTTCTTAATTCGCGTGGTGGGCCCTGAAGGGTGATGGGGGGGGGGGGGGGATTAAGGGCCAAACTCCAACTGAGAGCCCGTGGAGCCTAGGACTGTGTCCAAGATCCCTCAATGAATAGGGGCCTGTCCACCCCAGCCTGGACTCTCAAATCAACACTCTGGTTCTGGCCTGGAACAAGAAGAGTTCCCACCTTGACTTGGTCAGAAAGTCAAATCTCCTCTGTGTAGCCGAAGTCTCCCTCCAAACTTTCAGAGTGAGCTGGTTCCTAACACAGAGAGCTTTTAGAGTTTCTCTTTTACCTGGGATTTATGTCATGCCCATTCTTGAAAAATAGAGTTATTAAGTGCCGCTGAGTCGGTTCCTACTCACAGCGACCCTGTATAGGGTTTCCAAGGAGCAGTCTTGAGTTAAAAATCTCACATACACAGGGGAATTCAACTTCAAGAGGAGCCAAACAATACAGAGAAAGGGAGAGAGGATGCCCAGCAAGAGCACCCCTCCAGTTGAGCATTAAATGTAGTTGGGAGCTTCCTGGCAGGCCAGGCAAGAAGGGAAACATGCTGGCAAACCTGCCAGCTCAGAGAAGGCAGGCTCTTCAAGTGCCGTAACACTGCCCAGGCCCCAGTGCTGGCTCGCATGGATTTAGGTTGGCCCTTTGCATGACCCTGTGGGGACCCAGCAACCCTAGAACCACAGTGTCTGCCCTGTTCTCTGTCTGACCAGCTAAGAGCCTTTGCCCTGGACCTGGGTGGATCCACCCTGGAGGACCCCACAGACTTGGAAATTGTGGTTGTGGATCAGAACGACAACCGGCCAGTCTTCCAGCAAGACGTGTTCACTGGTCATGTGCTGGAGGGCTCTGCCCCAGGTGAGGGAGGAGGCCTGGCTAGGGGAGGGGGCTCTGGGCAGGTTGCAAGTTTATAAGTTCCCTTAAGTCAGCATTCTGAAGGTCCACCCAAGAGTCTTCAGGACTTAGGGAATGTCCACTTCCTATTTCTGGCTTCCCAGGCTGCTGGGTCCCAACTGAGGACCTTGTGGTTAGCATCCCAGTGCTTAGCCCACCGTGCCACCAGGGAGCCTTGTTTTTATCTTTCATAGAAGCAAAATCCATGAAACAAAATTAACCATTTTGAAGTGTACAATTTGGTAGTGCTTTAGGATAAGCACTGGACTGCTAACCACAAGGTCGGTGGTTCAAACCTACCAGCTACTCTTCGGAAATCCCCTATAGGATCGCTGTGAGTTGGAACTGACTCGACGGCGCTAAACAACAAAATGACCCATTCACAAGGTTGCACATCCACCATCTCTGGTTACAAAACATCAGCATCACCTCACACTCAATCCCACACCCCCTTGTCAGTCATCTTGAGTCAAACAGGACTCTGAAGACAAAGAGGACACACCCTTCTGTCTGTCCTAAGTGTGTGCAGGTAGGAACCAGCGCATGCCAGCTCCCAGCCACGTCTACATAGGCCAGAGCTGGGATCTATGTTAGGGATTGGCTCAGGGTCCCTGCAGTAAGCGCCTCTGACCTCTTGGTCTCCTCTGCTGCTGTAGGTGGCTTTGAAGAGCAAGGCTGATGCTCTCACGGTTCTGGAGGTGGTAGGTTTGATTCAGCCAGCCGCCAGGCTGACTCCATCTGGATTCCGTTTCTCCCAGCTTCCGGTGACTGCGGACCATCCTTGGTGTTCTTTCGCTGCTTGTCGATGCCTCTGCCTCCTTTGTCCCATGGCCGGCGTTTGTCTGTCTCTATATCTGTCCTTCCTCTTCCATGACACGTGTCACATAGGGTCAGGACCCACCCTACTGCAGGTGACCTTACCAACCTCCAAAGAAAGACCTCCCACTTCCCAGTAAGGTCACAGGGCTCAGGGTTTTGATGCATCTTTGTTGGTGACACAGTTTGATCCACAACATCCACCAACGTTTGTGGTGATGGCTCTTCGCTGGGCACCAGCCCCCACATGTCCTGTCCTTCCAGGCACCTTTGTGACCAGGGCCGAGGCCACGGATGCGGATGACCCCGACACAGACAACGCGGCTCTGCGGTACTCCATCCTGGCACAGAGCGAACCGGAGCTCTTCAGCATCGATGAGCACACAGGCGAGATCCGCACGGTGCAAGTGGGGCTGGACCGAGAGGTGAGCTTATTTTGGGTGCCTCATGTCCAGTTCACCCCAGTGTACGCCCCACACCATAGGAGGGGGCGCCGAGTTCTGCAAAACACTCAGCAGCTGTGGGTTATGGACCCAGTCTCGGCTCAGCCAGCTGCTGTGCCTCCTGGGTTTCAGTTTCCCCACCATGGTTAGACGTAATGACTATACTAACCTTGTAGGTTCTGTGAGGTTAAGGTCGAAACAGGGCGTGAAAGCCCTCCGCCAGCCTGGCCCGGGCAAGTGTCCACTGGCTACCACAAAACAGGCCCTTTGGCAAGAAGAAGGGCCTTCCTTGGTAGCCTGCCATCTGCCCTCTGCACATACCTCCTCCCACCAGGACCCCTCCAACCCTGTGTGTTACCACCTCCAGGAAGCCCTCCTTGGTCTCCCTAGGAGGACTGTCTCTCATTCTGCCAGTAAATTGAGCTCCCAGGGCCAGGGCCCAGATGGCTGCCCTGTATACAGTAGGTGCTCCTTAAGTGCTGAGGCTGTCCCCCTACCCCCTTAGATGGGCATGAGCCCGTGGTTGGCCCTCATACTGGGCCCCCGGGATGCCTCCCCTCATGCTACGCTTCAAGCACTTTACCCATCTGAGCCACAGACCCTGCAGGGCCTCGCAGGGGGTGACCCCATCTCGGGATCAGCAGCCCTGGCCCTCACAGCAGCATCACCTACAGGTGGTGGCCATGTACAACCTGAGCCTACAGGTGGCCGACATGTCTGGGGATGGACTCACAGCCACTGCCTTGGCCATCATTACCCTGGATGACATCAACGACAATGCCCCAGAATTCACCAGGGACCAGGTACCGCCAACCCCTCCTTTGCAGCTCCGAGCCCTCTGCAGGGAGGCTTTGTGGCAACAATGTTCCCATCAGAGCCCAAGGGCCACAAAGAGCAAGGTGCTGCCTAGGGCCACAAAGAGCCCAGGAAAGCAAGTGGACCAGGGGTAGGTGTCCCCAGGTCCTCCCAGGCATTATGGGTGGTACAGATAGAAGGCTCACACAGACCACGGGGGCAGTAATTTACAAAAGCAAGCTTGTGGGGAGGTCCGCACCCAGGAAGCTCACAGAAAGGGCAGCAGTCAGATGGGAGGTTGGGGCAGGGGAGCCCAGCACAGCTGCCGGCTTCACCTGCCTTGGCCTCCCTCAGTTCTTCCTGGAGGCCACGGAGGCTGTCAGTGGTGTGGACGTGGGCCGGCTGGAAGTGCAGGATAGGGACCTACCTGGCTCCCCCAACTGGGTAGCCAAGTTCACCATTCTGGAGGGCGACCCTGACGGACAGTTCACCGTCCGCACCGACCCCAAGACCAACGAGGGTGTCCTGTCCGTGATGAAGGTGAGCGCCCCCAGGACCCCAGCACCCACTTATGGCATTGAGTGAGGGAAGGACATGGGGGTACCCCTTATCCTGGTCCCGCTCAGATGGTCTGTGTGGAATAGAGGGAAAGACCGTGGCTGTAGCCTTGGGATTAGGGCTGAACACAATTCCCCAGGGCCTGGGCCGGGGGGCTGCAGAACTCTGCGTGTGACTTAGTGCGTTTTCTATCCGTGTAAATAGCTGTAAAAACACAGTGTGTGCCAAGAGTCACCCTGGGATTTACTACTTTACACCCTACTCACTGCTGCCATTTTTCTGAACAGTTTTTGTTCAAAGTTAAGAAAGGGAAAAAATAAAGTAGGGGTTCTTGGGACAGACCAGTGGACGTGGGCAGCGGTGCCAGCCTTCCTTACTGGAGCCGCTAGCTGCTTTCCAGACCTGTGATCCCTTTGGGCCCCCATGAGTGGCATTGCTGAATCCTGAGTGTCCATTGCCTCTGTTCGGTCCCACAGCCCCTGGACCATGAGAGCCACGAGCACTACCGGCTCCTGGTGTCAGTAGAGAACGAGGTTCCTCTGCAGGTGACTGCCCCCAGGGCCACTCGGAGCCAAGCCATGGTCAGCGTCCACGTGCAGGACACCAACGAGGCCCCCCTCTTCCAGGAGAACCCGCTCCGAACCAGCCTGGCTGAGGGGGCAGTCCCAGGGACCCCTGTGGCCACTTTCTCTGCCCATGACCCTGACACCGAGCAGCTGCAGAGGCTCAGGTGGGAGAGGTGGCGGGAACTCCGGGCCTGTGACGCCCTGTACCCCAGACCTGGAGTTCCAGGAATGCTGAGGGGCTGTGGGCCCCACCCTTGAGGAACACACGTGTAGTTTTGAGGGTCTAGGGTGTGTGTGTGTGTGTGTCTTGGGGTTTATGATCACATTCCCAGGGCCCCCAGTGCAGGCTCAGGCCTGTCCCCTTCCTTGCCCAAACAGCTACACCAAGGACTATGATCCCGAGGACTGGCTGCAGGTGGACCAGACCACAGGCCAGATTCATACCCAGCGGGTGCTCAGCCCTGCCTCCCCCTTCCTCAAGGACGGCTGGTACCGAGCCATCATCCTGGTCAGTGACAATGGTGAGCTCGGGTCATCAGGTGGGGTGGAGGCAGGGTCCTGGCAGGGAGCGCTGACCTAGGGCTGCTGGCCAGGTGACCCACCAAGCTGACCTAGCCCTGCCCCTGCAGCCTCTCCACCGTGCACCGCCACCGGCACTCTGTCAGTGGAAATTCTGGAGGTGAACGACCATGCGCCTGTTCTGATTCCCCCCACCGGCAGCCTGTGCAGTGAGCCAGCTCGAGGCTCCGGGCTCCTCCTGGGGGCCACGGATGAGGACCTGCCCCCACATGGCGCCCCCTTCCACTTCCAGCTGAGCCCCAGGAGCCCAGCGCTCGCCCAGAACTGGAGCATCAGCCAGGTTAACGGTGAGGCCGGCGGACGGATGGGGAAACCTATGTGTACTGCAGGTGCAGGCCGGGCAGAGAGGGAACCCGGGAGCCTGGCTGACAGTGATCCCCTCCCCAGTGAGCCACGCACTCCTGCGGCTGCGCCACCGGCTCCCCGAGGGCGTGCACCACGTCAGCCTTCTGCTCCGCGACTCGGGACAGCCGCAGCAGCAGCGCGAACAACCGCTGAATGTGAGCGTGTGCCGCTGCGCCCTCGACGGTGCCTGCCTGCCCGGAGCTGCCGCCCTGCGCTCTGGGAGCACCGGTGTCAGCCTGAGCGCGCTGGTCGTCGTGCTGGGCAGCGTCACCGTGCTTCTCCGTGAGTGCCCGGGCCATCCTCACTACGCCAGCCAACCCCCCACTGCGGACCAGACCTCCCGCCTGGCTCCTCCTCTCCCCACCCCCACTGTGTCACCAGTCCTCCCTGCCCCTCCCCTCCCTCCAGGCGCCACACCGCGGGCTCCCGAAACCCGATGTCTAAGGACCCGTTACCCTCTCCGGGCCCCCAGCCCCAGCCCCTCGGCAACCAGGACCCGTATTCTGCCCTGTGCGCCCCCTCTCTTCCCACCCCCGACGCTCGCTCGCTCCCTCCTTAGGTGCTCCAAGACCCTAGATGACCCCACCCCACCCCCAACTTCCGGAAGTCCCGCCCCTTGGGCCCCCCGGAAGTCCCCCTCCCTGGCCGTATGGTCTCAAACCAGTTCGACCTACCCCTACTCCATGTCCAGTGCTCATCGTGCTGGTGGCTGTCCTGGCGCGATGCCAGCGGAGGTCGCGGGACAAGGGGCTGCTGTACGGGCTCCAAGACGACCTCCGAGATAACATCCTGAACTACGATGAGCAGGGTGGTGGAGAGGAGGACCAGGTGAGGGATAGGTGGGAGACAGTTGAGGCCAGGAGGACCAGGTGATGTTTGGAAGGCCAGTGGGGCCCAGAGAGCCAGGTCAGCGTGCTGGAGCGTTAGGTGAGGGCCTGAGGGTCAGATAGACCTGATGTTCAGGTAGGCCCAGGTGGGGTCAGGAGGCCCCGGGGATTGCCTGAGGGCCCAGGGGTGGGGGAAAGGCGAGGAAGGAGCTACAGGGGCAGGGGGATTGGACTCGGTGGGGGTGGGAAGTAGACTGGGGTGTGGGGTGCGGGTGTTTGGGAATCACTGAGTTTTGCGGACTGTGGTGAAGAAGCACTCTGGGCTTCCATAGGCGGAACCCGCACTGGCCCAGGAACTAATGGCTCTGGAAGCTTCCAGAAGTTTTGGAATTGCTTTCCCGGCTTCCTATCCAGGGCTCACTCGGATTGGTGGAAACGCCTTTCGTGGTCTCGGGCTCAATCCCATTACCCCTTCCACACAGGACGCCTATGACCTCAGCCAGCTGCGTCACTCCACGGAGCTGGCGGCCCTAGGCGGGCCTCTGGGACGGCCACCGCTGCGCATGGACGCCCCTTCCGGCCGCCCGCCTGGCCCACCACCCCTCCTGCTGTCCACCAGCCCCACTGACATCGCTGGCTTCATCCGTGACGTAGGTACTCCAGGGGCCGCGCGTGCGCACAGGTGCCCAGCACCATCTGCGGCTGGGTGGGGTCGACGTGCCGCCTTCGAGGGCAGCGATCACGAGGGAGGGGCCGGCCCGGAGCGCCTTCCTGCGGTGTCATGTTGGGGTGTGGCTGAGGCC